TCTAAATAATCTTGATAAATAGATCATATATCATTCGTTATCGTGAATTCTTCATGAATATTCTTCTGAATTGAATCTTACCTTTTGATTGTATAGATATCAAAGAAGCCGAGCTCCCCTGCAGAAATTTGAGCAATTGCCCAGACCCTTTGAACTCTGAGCCATTTCCCATAGGGAGAAATAGGTATGGAAATCAGAATCGGGATTCAGGGATGCAGTGGCTCGAGGCTCAACGATCCGACGACTTGCCACGAAGGCTTTGGTGCTCCGTGCGGCCACGAATTATACTAAACGTTGCTCGCTTTGAGCGGCCGAGAGCTACAAAGAATCACCCCTCATGGTAGAAAATCTCCACTCGTCGCCATGCTCTACCCTCGCACACCCTAGCATACCCATCTTCGACTCTTGCCTCTCTGCGAAAAGTCCCAGCGCACTATGCTCTGTCGAAACAGTACCATCTGGAGCAAGAATTTGTCATCCAAGATCCACGTTGCTAGATCCGAATCCTACTCACTGGTGCCCAAACCCGAACTCACACACCCTTCAATCCTAAACCTGAAACCCTTCAAGCCAGAAACCCGAGAACCCAAACCCCAACCCTAAATCCTACTCTTCCAAAATAACGAACTTTGGCTCCTCCAGCTGCTCAGAATTCTCGAAGTACTCGCCACCGAAGAAGGGATCCTCTAATGCCTGCCAGTTCGACTCAAACACCCCTGAGAGGGTTTCAGGTTTTAGGATTTTGCGGCTTGGGGGCTTTAGGGCTTTAGGGTGAAGAGCCTAAGGGTCAAAGGTTTTAAGGCATTCCGATTGCATTGCAAAGCTGAGGCTCTTGTTCCATCCCTGTCTTCACGTCACACGCCTTTCACGGCTTCTCATGTTATGATTCGGCTTGAGAGTCGCTTAAGATTCGAGCTGCGGCTCTACGATTCACGGTGGAGCCTGAGGTTTAGGCTTGGGGTCGCTTCCGTCAAAGTCTTTTACTTTCTACATGCATCTATCGATTTCAGTGCAGTTGCAGCATCCCTAGCGCCCCTATCCACCTCTTCTCAACGTCGTGCTGAACGTGCCTCTCCCCAACAATTGAATCGCGTGGGCAACCCGACACCACCCGAAGATGGCCAGTGAAGAACGGAGCCAAAGGGTGCCTTCCAGGCATCCTCTCCGTCCGCCATCTCTGCATCCGTCAGCAGCGCTGTGCCAAGCTCGGCTTCAATGCCGGCCTCAAGTTGGAAGGCTTTCGGTGGGCGGTTTGCGGGCTTCGAGGTGGCAATCCGAAGAGTAGGTATTGGGAGCCGTGGGAGCTCTACAGACTCAGAGAGAGTCTCTGAAGGCCCAAGGCCTTGTCCAGCCCGACACCGATGAAAACGAGCATGCTTCCTCTGTCGCCATGCTCCGCATGCCAGGAGCCCGTTGCCACCAGCTCTCCTTGGCCATTGCGGGTTGCGGGGTCGACAAACGACACGTAAAACGCTCAAACAACAGCGGGGCTATCTTGGACCATAGTTCTGTGATAATCGTGGAAGGCCTCCTCCCACTCTTCTCTGGGCATTGCTGCTAGGAAGGGCACCACTGACGCCCCCAGCTGCACGTGTCGACCTGCCACATGGAGGTCGATGGGTCTAGCGTTGGCGCTGGCGAGCCATAGGTGTCCCTTCGCACGCACCACGCCGGCAAAAACAGTCGGTGCGGCAGTGCTGCTGTCCGACGCTGTCATGGTGCTGGCGTAGTCCCCGACGCCGGCTAGAACTGTAGCCAGCCGACCTGGGTGAAATGGTCGCTCGTGGCTGCGGAATACCATGCTGGAGATGTTGTACTCCTCCGTCTCAGGGGTGTGTCCGGGGCCCCCTTCTGCAGCTTTCGCCAACTCCTGCATCCACCCTGCCGAAGACTCTGCTGCTTCCATGTCGAAAAGATGGGTGTTGATCAGCTCGTTTAGCGGCACATCCGCAAACTGCGGCTGGGCGGGCACTATGATCCTGGCAGAGGGGTTGAGCTTCTGGAGCAAGGCACGAATCTCCTGCACTGCACTTTCGTCCTTGACAAGGTGCGCCTTGCTTAGCAAGATCACATTTGCAAATTCGATCTGGTCCAGCATCAACTGCGCAATGCTGCGGTCATCAGTTTCTATGTCATTGCCGGTCATTCCGGCGATATTTGTCTCGTTGAGCATCTCCAGGCTACTTAGCACATCGTAGATGTTCAACGCGTCCACGACAGTGACCATCGTGTCCAGGCGAGCGAAATGGGACAACGACTGCAGTTCGGAAGCAAGCTCACCATCGTCACCGACAGACATATCGGCCATGTCAGCCATCTCCATTTCCTGGGCTTCAGAGGAGCGTTCGATGCCCTCCTCCCAGTCTCCCTCCATGGCATCCTCTGGCAGGAGCTCCTCCTCCAAATACTCCTCGTCCATGTCCCCCTCCTCCAGATCATCTACATCCATTACGAAGGTCTGTGCCACCGGCATGGGTTCCGCGATGCCGGTGGATTCAATCACCAAATAGTCAAATGCTTTCTCCTCGCTTAAAGCCTTCACGGTCTTGAGCAAATCACCTCTCAGAGTGCAGCAGATGCAACCGTTGTGCATCTCCACCATGGTGGCTTCCTCCTGGATCAACTTAGAACTCTTGATCTCCGATGCATCGAGGTTCACGTCCCCCATGTCGTTGACGATCACGGCTACCTTTGGCACATATTCCTCAGGACCGTCAGGGCAACATGCTTTGTCGCCAGAACCTGCCGAGCGTAAAATGTGCTTCAACAGAGTCGTCTTGCCGGAACCCAGGAAGCCAGAAAGCACAGTAACTGGGAGCAGCTCTGCATCTTCAGCCGCGCCATGCCATCGTGCGAAAGCCTCGTCACACTCTGGACATCCTGTGACCTTTCTTGCCGTGTCCGTCACTTCAACTGCAGCAACGTCTGCGTTGCATTGGGTGACTCCTTTCCGTGGCCTGGCTCGCTGCCGGCTCGCTGCCGGCACAAAGAGGGCGAGCGCAGCGAAAGCTGAAATCGAAGACCCGGCGGCGGTCGTGACGCCTCTCGCGCCGCCGCTCGCACCTCTCGCGCCTCTGCCCACGGCCCAATCGCTCGACCCCCGGGGCGCCGGGGCCCCCGCCGAGAATTTCCGGAACCCGCCGTGGCTCAGGGCTGCCTCTGGAGCCCGTAATGCAAGCGCAGGCGATAAGTGACCCGAGGCCATGGCGTACAATAAGCTTCTCCTCTCTAGCTCCCGCGAAGCTTAGAGAAGGCTTACTGTAAGATCCAAAGATGTCCAAAGTCTCTGCATCTCGGCTGAAGGGTTGTGTTACAGTGAGGCTGGGAGACCGTGTGCATTCTCTTGAGCATGATGAGCATGGGCTGCAGAAAGGAGATAGACAAACGGAGATGTCTTGCAGCAATACGGAAGGGGAAGGCCATGAGTCCGTAGAGCTCCTGCATCATTGGCTTATGGAGATTTCTGACAAACTTCTTCACATAGCCTGACGATACCCATCCGCCCGTTTCCTGACGGCAAGCTACCCATGACAACCACTGGCTTGCAGCACAAAGCATCTTTTCTTGCTGCATCGTCGACCATTTGCACATCTCTACAAACTTGAAACGCATTCCTTCGTGAAGAATCGGGTGAGCCCGTTATAGCGCCGAAAGACGCTTCAACTTGAGTATAAACTAGAGGACCCTGGACACACCTGGCCGAGCAAACACGGCCGGGTTTTCAGGCGTGCAAGACACAGTCATTCCACTTGCACACTCTCCAAAGAGATTGTTTTGAGAGTGCGGAGTTCAGAAAACAGCGGTGCACATCCTGCTTCTCGTACGGTCGCAGGTGGACACCGTGTCCCTGGGCATGACGGCTTGTGACCCGTGGGGCCACATCCTTTCGGGAACCAGTCGAGTCCGCAGCAAGTGACCCATTCTTAGTCGCGAGAAGCCCTGAGCCCTGCCTGCGCAAACTGAGTCCGGCCTACTCGTGACCCATGGCTCATGGTGGTGTCTCAGAAGCCATAGCTCGCCGCCGCAGCCCGACTGGACAGCACCTCGCTCCTCCGCTTGGGTACCAAGCCTAGCGGCCTAGCGGCTTAGCGGCCTAGCCGCTTAGCGGCCGACCTCTCCTCCCCAAAGATCGGTCCTTTGGCGGTCTGCCGGCAGCGAAGCCAAGAGCCCCAAAGACCCTGGGCATCCGTCGGCGCTTCCTGGCCGCAGTCGGACTGCGTGTAGCAAGCACAGTTGTTGAGGCGGACGAGCACTTGGAAGGGGTGATCCCGCAATGCTGACTTCGCCTCCAGGAACTCGATTATGTCAAGAAACCCGATAATTCCGCCTTGGCCTGACTGAGCATCAGAATCAGAAGGACCGAAAGGAAGAGCCGAGAGTGAGCTTAGCAGCGAAACTGCTATCCCCGTCCTGGCTAGATGAAATAGACGCCAGGGCGAAGGCATTTGATTAAATCGCGGGTGGGGCTGTTAGTTGTTAGAGTGAAACCGAAGCTACTCCTGCACAGGAACCTCCGCGACTGCCGCTGCTGCTCGTGGAGACGTTCTCTGATGTCCCAGGAGCTCACCACCGCGATCTAGGATTCGAGAGAGGCTTGGGGGCTTTGGGAGATGGCTTCGATCATTCCCCTGGCATTAAGTCCACATAATAGGGCTCAGAGAAGTAGGTGGGCTGAAAGCAAGCCCACACCCCAAGATACCCCAAGATGTCGAGGCTTCGGCGTCGTGGTGGACGGATTCCGACAACCTGCGAGGTAGAAAGCACGAAAGGCCGGCAATGTAGCTAGTAGGCAAATGTCTGAGCTAGCAATCGGGTCCGCATGGTCGCTAAATTAGCACCGCCGGAAGCCATCAAAGTGCCGAGTCACCAGACTTTGCAGGATCTCTCGAAGTACAAAGCTCGCTTCATGGCCATCTCCTCGGTGCACAAAAGCAGATTCGGCCTTGTTCCGTTGGGCTTCCGAATCCATCGAATCCAGTACAGCCTTAGCGCCTCGGGTTTTGCGGACAACTCTGACTACCAAGCTCTTGGTTCACTAAGAGCTAACAGTCACTAACATCGCCGAGAAGCATCGTTGGTGCCGAAGATGAGCCGAACGGGATCTAGACCTGAAGATTGGATGCTTCTCCCCTCTCGCCCATTCAGAGATCCGAGCCATGCAACCTCCTCAACACTGCGGCCTAGTCGCCGGACTCCTTTCTCACGAAATGGCAGGGGCTCACGAACTCCAGCGCAGCGGTCGAAATGCGCACGCGAGGCCTGGGTGCCAGGGCGCCGTCAGCTTTGTTGCAGTTTCAAGTGACTTTCGACTTGGGAGGGCCTCGTCTGGAAGATGTGGTCAGGATCGACCACTCCACGCGGCGGCTTCGAGGCCCTGGGCTTGGCTCTCTCCGGTAGCTTCGCTTTCCGCCTTGAGGCTAACAGCCCTAGTCCTGGCCTGCGGCGCCTCTACTTCAAGTGGCCAGCAAACACGAAACCACGAGAAGTGAGAGGAACAGGGGGGAAGACATGGGGCTAGTGGAAAGCTTCACTCAGTCAGGGAGGCGTTTTTAAAACGCGCCAACGCGAGAGGGAAAGCTCCACTGACAGTGCCCCAACAAACCGCCCTTGCAACCGGCAATGCGGAAAAACATCTGGTAAAGGCTGGCCCTTGCCCCAAAAGAACGGAAGCGCCTGTCGTCCAGTGCGCAGATGCCGCGCAGTGAGATCCCGAGCGTCTGGCCGATGGGACAGTCGTCAGAATCTGATGCGCCCGTACAAACAAAGCCTGAAACTGCAGAGTCCTTACTATGCCAAAACACCTTTGGGAGCTTTCGCTGGTGAGGCGCCTACACCCCCTCCTAAACCTCCGCAGGGTTTATTGTGAATCCCAAAGTGAGAGCATGGCCCATCATGGCCCATGCACAAGGATGACACACACGTGCCGAGAAAGAGAAGATTAGCAGATTTTCATGGCCTGTGCCTGTGCAATGCACTTGGCTCAAGTCCGATAACGCAAGAAAAGAGCTGCCGTGACTTCTAGTTTCACATTGGTAGCGGAGCCTCGGGACCGTTCCTGGGGCATGCAGGTCTTCTCATGGTCCGTGCACTGTGTTCTGTGCCGTCGTGCACTTCTTTGTTGTCTTCGTCTACATGCTGTGCTATGAGGCGAACTTCTTGTTCTATGCCATCGTGTACTTCTCTGTCGTCTCCGTCTGCATACTGTGCTATGAGGCGGACTTCCAGTTTGGTGCCGTCGCGCGCTTCTTTCGTCTTCTCCGTCTACATACTGTGCCCTGAGGCGGACTTGCTGTTCGGTGTCGTTTCGACTGCTTCGTCGTTCCCGTCTGTATGCTGTGCTACGGTGGACTTGTGCAAACATTCCTCGACTACTACACCCTCCACTTCAACATTGCCGATGACCACACCTTCGGCAACATCATCGTCTACCATATCCTCTACATCTAAATATTCGGCGACCATGTCTTCTACAGCAACCTCTTCTTCTACCATGACCTGTACATCAACATTGCTGACGACTACATCTTCTGAACCAACCTCATTGACCACAGTGTCCTCTACATCAACGTCTTCGCCGACGGCATCCTCTGCATCGACATCGTCAGCTACCGGTCTTCTACATCGATATTTTGATGGGCACATCTTCTACATCAACATCTCCAAGTCGCACGTCCCCTACATCAACATTGCTGACGGCCACGCGTTCTACAACAACATGATCGACTACGACATCCTCCGCATCAATGTGTCCGCCGACCACACCGTCTACACCAACCTCCTCGCCTACCACATCCTCTACATCAACATTCTGGCGATTTCTACTTCTACATTCATATTATCCACTACCGCGTCCGCTGCATCAACATGTTCGCCGAGCACCTCTACATCGACATCGTCGACTACCACATCCTCTACACCAACAACGTTGACAACGACACCTTCTACATCCACATCTTTGACTTCCACGTTCTCTACATCAACATGTCCGCCGAACACCTCTACATCGACATCGTCGACTACCACATCCTCTACACCAACAACGTTGACAACGACACCTTCTACATCCACATCTTTGACTTCCACGTTCTCTACATCAACATGTTCGCCGAGCACCTCTACATCGACATCGTCGACTACCACATCCTCCACATTATTTTGGATGGGCACATCTTCTACATCAGCATCGTGGGCTACCACATCCTCTGCTCCGCCATTTTCGGTGGCCGCATCTACTACATCAACATGCTCGACGACCACATCGTCCACATCCACATCAACATCATTGCCGACCATATCTGACGCATCAATAAGCTCGACGGCCACATCTTCTACATCAGCATCGGCGACTACCACACCGTCTACATCAACATCGTTGACGGCCACTGCTTCTACGTCCACATCATCGACTACCACGTCCTCTACATCATCATGTTCGCCGACCACAGCTTCTACATCAGCATCGTCGACTATTGCACCCTCTACATCAGCGTCGCTGATGGCCACATCTTCTACATCCACATCATCGACTACCACTTTCTCTACATCAACATGTTCGTCAACCACCGTGGACTACAACGTCCTCCACGTCAACATTTCTGACGACCACACCTGCTACCTCCACATCTACATCATCGACTACCCCATCCTCGACATCAGTGTCTTCGCCAACGACATCTTCAACATCGACACCGTCGGCTACCATCTCTTCTACATAATTACATTCGATGGCTACATGTTCTACGCCAACATCAAGGCCCACGACATCTTCTACACCAACCCCCTCGACGACACATCTTCTACATCAGCGTCATCGACTACCGGGACCTGTGCATCATCATCGACGAGCACAGCTTCCACGTCAACATCATCGACCACAAGATCAACATCATCATCTCCACCGGCCGCATCCATCAGTCCCCTATCAGTACCCTTTACGGCAAGATCCCTCTTCGACCACATGGTGTATGACAGCTCCCCACCTCTGCAGTCACCGTCCACCATCAGCGGCCGCATCCTTTACACGTCTTCTACCACAAACTACATCCCCAGCGAGATCCTCCACGAAAGCATGTTCCACGACAACAGTCTCTACAACGACATCGTCTATGACGAGATCTACCACAACCGCAGCTTCTACGACAACGCATCTTCGTAATCTTCGTTTACGGCAACATGCACAATGCCCTCCTTTATGCAAACTCCCCTCTATACCAACATCTTCACTGACGGCGTCCTGTATAGCACCTTGCCGCGCCACCACTTTTTCAATGACGACACCGTCTGTGGCATTATCTTCCGCGACTACAGCATCCTCTACGACCACACCTTTTACGTCGATATCGGGCTGGAGGACTACATTGACTACATCCTGCATGACGTCATTGTCTACGACGAGTATGCCGGCATCTCACAACCTACCTCCTACATTTCATTTACCCTTGCGGCCATGTCCTCCGCCACGTCATGCTCCACCCTGACAAGCACGTCTTCCAAATCAAGACTTGCCATGACCTTGTCGACCAAGCCGCGGTCCATCGTTGTCTTTTCTTCGCCGACGTCGTCCAGAAACACATCCTATAGGACATCAGAGGATACAACTACATCTCCTTTGACAGCACTGTCTGCTGCCACATCTTCATGGCCAGCATCGAGTGTGGCAATGCTTCCGGCAACTACAAGTGCTGTGACGCCATTCTTGGCCAGATTCCTCTACGGCAATATCTTGGACGGCCGCATCGTCTGCCACAACTTCCTCTGCGACTTTGGCGTTTACGACCTCCTTTGTGGCCACGTCCTCTACAAGTACGGCCTCGAGAACAAGGGGCGGCCGCAGCAGCCTCGACAACCGCGAGGCGGCACTTGCGCGGAGCGTCTGCGGAACGGGCTGCCAGAGCTTTACGGATATCCGTTTCGTGCTGACCGTGCTCTTGATGGTCAGTGTGTGGCGACAAGCCCCGCCGTAGCCTCCAAAAAATTGGAGTTGTTTTTGAACCAGTGTGAATCCCAAAGTGAGAGCATGGCCCATCATGGCCCATGCACAAGGATGACACACACGTGCCGAGAAAGAGAAGATTACCAGATTTTCATGGCCTGTGCCTGTGCAATGCACTTGGCTCAAGTCCGATAACGCAAGAAAAAAGCTGCCGTGACTTCTAGTTTCACATTTATCCCCGCCCAGCTGCTCCTAGTCATAGTCTGTCGGAGGTTGGGCTGCTTCTTTTTGGGTGTAGTGTCGGAGAATACGACGGGTGGCCCGCCAAGCCTCCAACTGGCGCGCAGCATGGCAGGCGAAATGATTGCCATAACTCCTTAGGGGGGCTCGGAACTCGCAATATGATCTGAGATTTTGTGGGGCAGTAGCAAGAACCACTGAGCCCTCCCTTCGTTGGGTTTCTTCTCTTCTACGCCGGCCGAACTCGAACCCCGGACTCGGATTTGGATTTGCCAGACACTCAAGGCCCTAGGTTTGAGGCTAGCTAACCGAATGACAGCACGAGTTGCATTAACCTCAAGTCAGGCAGGGTTGGTGTTCGTGTCGGGACATGCCGGGTAATGCCTGACCCAAGCCATGACTATTACCCCGCTAACGCTTCTGCGCATCCAGTGCTTTCCGCAGATGACCGACCAGTGCACGTGTCTCCGTAATGCTTTGTAGAAGTCAGGTGAGCGACCAGCCCACCAGCATCAGCTCCGCCGGCGCGGTGCACCTGGCTCCAGAACGCCTCTTCAAGTCTCAGGAGGCTCGCACCCTTTGGCCTCTCCAGCAGCTGCGTGAGCCAGGGAGTGGAGACCAAGTTCTGGGCGACGGAGAGCAAACCCTGCACCCTCAGAATGCAGAGCTCCAGCAGTACTGTACTAGATCTAGCCGTACAGCCCGAAGATTCTTCGGGAGGTCGGGGTACGCTAGATAAGGAGGTCTTGAAGCGTTCCAGAAATTCAACGGTGGATCTCTGCCCTGCTTGCGGTTACATATGTTTGTCAATTCCATCCTGGCCGCTGTAGCTTTTACATCCATATGGGCGCCTGCTGTTGCAACGTCTGGTCATGTCTCGTCTCTGTTCCTGTTATTACTGATCGGGAAGCTGGCGATGTTGCTGAGGATGACCAGAATGGTCATGATGGCATGGGAAGCCAAGAAGGCATTAGGATATTTGAATTTCGGCTTCGATATCCCAGGACTCCGGTTCTTAAGTTCCAGGTTCCACCTCCGCCGTCATCCTAATCGGAGAACTGACTCCCAGCATTATGGTAGCCACGGGGCCGCAGCTCGTCCACCGGATCGATGCTCCAAACTTCATGTGCCGCCAGCACCCTGGGAAGGCTCAGTGGGCTGGAAAACCGCGGAATGACAGTTCAAACCATCGACTTTTTCGTACAGGACAGGCATGCCTACTGACGTCAGACTACACCACAAAACCATGTTGCCCTTGGCCGACTGAAAAACGCAAGGTGATGACTCAACGACAGCAACAGGACTAGAAGCGGCAATGGTAGTAATGGGTACTGGCCGCAGCAACACGAGAGCTGCAGCTGCCGCAGCAGCAGGAGCGGAGGCGGTAAATGTTGTGATAGGGCGGAAGCAGCGGCAGTTGATAGCACTAGTCGATTGTTGCTGCCTCTACGGCTGATTCGCTGCTACTACTGCTACTGCTTCGCAACCCCCAAAACGACGACAATGTCAAGGCACGGCTCCTTTCCTCGTAGACGTCACTTACACATCGAGCGGTGGGAAGTCTTTGTTGGAAGTGTGCCGGAATGTGCAGCAGCTCGCAAAAATTACAAAGTGCGACCTGAATCTACGTGTCTTCTCGCTCCGCTGCATCTGAGCCCTGAGCTGTGCCAGTACATGGAACCCGGCGTGCTGCACGTTCATGCGAGTCGAACCGGCGATGCCACAAATCATCAGCCTGCGGTGACGGCGGAACAGCTTCCGCTATCTGATCTATCTGTGGCTGAAAAGATATTTTCACATGAAGTCGCTCCTGCTCCTGCGACCTTTCAACACAACCACAACTGCTGTTGCTGGCCGCCTGCTGCAGACTGATAGGTGAGGCATCCTAGAGACGCGCACTCTTCCGATTGCTATCGACTACCGTTCAGAAAACGAAGCAACAAAAATGCAGCAGAACTCCTCTACTGCGCTGGCTGTGAGGAGAAGAGCAATTCTCGACCAAACACAAACCGCACCCTCGGCCCTCGCCCGCCTGGGGTAGCTGCAGGGATCGGCAGGAAGGCCCGGGCCCAAACCCGGGCCCGGGCTGCGCAGGAAGCATCTTCCCTGAACACCGATCGGAAGCCTCGGGGCCCTCGGGGTTCTCGTTCTTGGCGAAGTGCAGCGTGGGCGCCAAGAACAGCAGGAACTCATCGATCGCCGGCTTTGACTGCAGCCGAAGGTGGGAGCTCTCACGTCGCCGCGTCGCCAGAAAGGAGTCCGGACGTTGGCTGGGCCTGGGCGGCCTGGGTGGACGGAGGCATCCGGCCTCACCGGGCGTGTGCAGAGGGCTCGACGCCTCGGGAATGCTCTGCACGAAGACCGTCGAAGCAGGAGGCTTGCGCTTCGCAGAAGTTCAGAAGCTTGCTTCTGAAGAGCGAAGCGTCAGCACACTCCAGCACTTCGCAGGTCAGGGCCCGCTGAGTCGAAGCGGCTCTCGACGAGCGTTGCAAGTGGCCAGAATCCAAACAAAGCTTGCAGGGCGCTTAGACTTGCGAAGCCAGGATAAGACCGGCAACTTCGTCGCTCCGCGGAGGTTGGGCAAATTCCTATCATCCTGCGACTTCATTGCACGCGTGCTCTTATGACTCTATCTGCATTGAAAACACGACCCGACAACTCCAAGGCCCCTCCGCTTACCCGAGAATCTGCATTTTTTACCTACAGTAAAACAGCAGCCTATATGTGGCCGCACCGAGATCGTCAAAAAGACTCGGCGAGCTTATTTGGATTGAGATTACAATGCCCAAATTTCCATTAGCCTTCTTCAACGAGCTACCTGGGGGGCACAACTCGCGACACAGCGCCTGTTCGACATAAAAGATGAAAAAATTAGTTGACGGCTGCTCGCGGCTTCATGCATTCATTGCACTCACGTGGCATCTACACGTGCCTTGCAGCATCATCATTGCATCGATGTCACGGAGTCCTTCAACTTTTGCAGACAAAGGCCAGTGGCATGGTCGACGAGTCGCCCATGCTCGGGTCACATTGGAGCTGAAGGGGCCGAAATTATGAAAAGGATGCGAAGGTGCTGCATGATGCCTGTGATAGCTTTGCAGCTGTGCTCAATGAGGCATGGTTGAACCCAATCAGGGCGTGCACAGAAGTATTACAAGTATTACGAACATTCGTTCCCAGACAATGCTGCTGCCAACAGCTAGGCCGGGTTAACAGGACCGGCAGAGAATCAGCACAGACGGTGCACGGCAACCAACACAGTACGAGTTTGTTGGAGCAAGTGGTAATCCAATCCCTATACACCTAGGTGACAGACAACAAGGGCTGCCCCGATTCCACAACCAGAAGAGAAACAGCAAAGTCGAGGTTCTGCGAACGACAGCGCCCGTTCACCGTTTCTCTTGCTGCTGTCATCCATGTCAGCCACGAGCCACTCTGGATTTCCCCGAAGCCTCTCCGGGCAATGCTCAAGACGCAGGACATCCTGCAAATGTGGAACAAGCCCGTGCTTGGCCAGCAAGCCGGCTCCGGCTGCACTGCGAAAGAAATGTGGCATCCTGACAGCTGAACGGGAAAGGCCCCAACCTTGCACCTGAACGCTGCTTCCAATACAGAGCCTAAGTGTAAGGACATCGAAGCAGTGAACATACTGTGAGCCGTGAGCTTGCTCAGAATCGGTACTAAGCCACACGGGGGCTGATCGAAGCTTGCGGTGTTATAAACCCTTCGCAAGCTTGCGTGACCGAGAAGCCTAGTGACGAAATTGGGATGCATGTCCTTTGAGCCTCCTTGCGTGCACAGTGCTTGTTCCGTGGAAACTCCAAGCTCTAAAGTTGATAAGAGCAGCCTCTGTAGGAACAGGCCAGGCGGAGGGATCCCTGCCTGTCGGGGTCATTCAGAAGCTGTCGACTCCTGCGGGTCAGCTGAAGCTGGCAGAGAGTGGAGCGTGGCAGATCGGGTAGCCTGAGAAGAGCTGATCTGACTTCGCCCTCCTTCCTGTAATCTGAAGCTAGAATTGACTCCCGAAGCTGAAGGGAAGAGGCGGCAATCCCCAAAAACGACATGTGCACTGCGGGTATCAGCTTGACACGGCGCCCCACAAACTGACCCTGAAGGTGATGCCAAAGACCTCCTCCCATTGCCCGAACGAAGACACGCGGCGCGACGATGGTGCAACATGCAGCTGCTGCAGCTGTGCGCCACGTGGGCGTGGGCGCTTGTTCCTCAACGCACATAAACTCAAAGTCCTTCCGGGAGCGGCAGAACGAATCTTCGAGGAATTCATTCCAAGAGCCCTTGACTTGCAAAGGAAAGTCTTCTGGGACGAGAAAGCTGCAGGCTCGGATGAGATAGGAGGTGTGCGTCGCAAGACGAGAAGCCAATATGGGCGCTGATCGAGATCACGGCGCCGATTCGTGGCTCTTCAATGGGCCCTTGCACTGCCCACACCCACCATTTTACATCTTTTCTGTAGTACGAGCCGAAGTTACATTGACTTGCATCTTGCACGCTCCTGTGCCTGCCCTTGAGCAATCTTGCACGCACACACACAAGCTTGTCAAGGCTGTTTCAATCCAGGCCGCAGACTCAAACGGCTTCTGTAGTCATACATCAAGAGTCTGGGTTGCTCAATCCTTGTATGGAACCTCTTTGGGAATAAGCTCACGAACAGGGTGTTACATCAACTATCGCTGAATCACACGGAATCGCAGTGGCGTGCATACGGAGATACCGGCAGTTTCGGGTTGTGTAGAGACCGCCACTTGAGATTCACGTTCAGTGACGCTTTACATGAACTCGGAAGCTTAGCATCCCCCTCTCGGAGCTCACGCATCCTCGAATCCCGGGCCATTGACATGCAAGAAGGCGGTAAGAGCAAAGTGCCAAGAGGAGCCTCAAGGGGCCCGCCCACAGCGCAGAGAGCCAAGCTGCCACTCGGAGTCTTCGCAGAGCCCAGGGCTTGCAAATCAACGGCCCATGCTCCCTCCAGGAAGGCTTGCAGGCAAGGTCGAGTTCCGCAAAAGCAGCGCAAACGATCCGATTATCCCCCCACTCGCAACGAGCCTCTATCACCTAATCTGGGAGGTAGCAGCCGGCACAGTACTGCAAGCGGGTCAGCGCGGCGAAGCAAAGGGAGGTCGGACTGGATGGAAGCCCTTGTAGGAGCTGCAGCCGCTTGCATCTCTTTCACCTTCACGCCAAATCTTAAGTCCCAAGCCTTGCAGGCGATGCCGATGGAATTCTGTGCTTGCCAAAGGCTCGGACAGACGTAGCGCAGACTGCTTGACGGAAACAGAAACACAAGTGCACCCTCAAGACATCCTCATGAACTGCATGCAACCATTCGCAATAGGCCGCTCTTGTGAAATGCTGCTCTGGCAGCATCAGGAAGACTGTTGCCACACGTAGCAGGCCGACGGAGACAAGATGTTTGCTTGGGGTGTGCTGCACATCAAGCAACTCATCACTCAATGACAACTCCGCCCAAGGCCCTGATTGTCCTCCACACCATCGGGCTCTTGGGCTGGGGGACAAGGGTGGGCCGCAAAGGGCCCGTGCCCGCAGCCTGCAACGCGTGGCGGACGCACTTCAGCACTGGATGCACGTGGAGTTTCAGGAAGTCGAGATAGAGAACGGAGCCCTTCTGGCAGTTGTCAGAAGTGCTCCGGACTGGAAGCTGTGCAGCGTGAGGTCCAGGTCCTGGCTGAGAGCTCCCAGGCAGCTTCCTGCCTGTCCTGCCTCCGGCGGCGGAGGCGCGCTTCGGGCCCTTTCAGTCCACCTCGTGGAGAAACCTGGGCCCGAAGCCGAAGCCCGGCCCGAAGCCGAAGGCCGGCCCGAAGCCGAAGGAGCCGAAGCCCTCAGCAGGCCCGGTCCACCGCGTTTACCCTGACCCGGCTCGAGGCGGCGCCGTTTCCATAGAGGAGCTGTAGCTCTTGACAGCGAAGTGGCAACCAAGGCCCGGTGGCCGAAGGAGAGGCAAGCGATGAAGCCGTGAGGACGGTGTCAGTGGTCAAGGCTGCGGCCACGGTCGGCCATCGGAAAAGAACTTGATCCGATCTGCCAACCTCGACCCGTATGGACGACACAGGGTCAGGCACCTAGATTTAATCAATTGCATCATTATCGCATGTGTCCACGCACTTAGCTGGAATCAGCACGTTGCTGGCAAAAATGGCTAAAAGCTCACAAGCCCATCGCAGGCCCTTGAGCTTACCTCCGAGCGATAATACAAACGTCCATTTACGACCTCCATCCAGGGGCTAGCGGCTGGTGGCGCTTGGGATGTTCTGCCGTAGGCAGAACATGGGCGTGTCTTCAACGGCATGTAGGCACTCTGTAGACAGTGCTACCACGCACATCGAATTGGGCGCCTGGGCGAGGCCATCACAGACACAGACACCGCTTCATGACCGCCGGGCCGAAGCGACGAAGCATCGGCTTGCGAATACATGCAGCTTGGTAGCTTGAAGCGATTTCTCCAAGTAGGGCAGGTGCAGGTCACGGGCAGGTGCCAAGACAACGTATGGAAAGAAAAAGCCGACTCTGCAGGTGCAGGATGCTTCGGGCTCAGATTGCTGATGCACTGAGCTTAGCTGAGGACAAGCAGATGCCGTAGTTCCACATCCAGCGAGGTGCCTTTCTCACGAAACTTCGATGGACTCCCTGCCCAACACAGTTCAGCTGTGGACTCCACATGTCGCAGCGACACGGCTGGTAAGATCCGCACAGTTTTCAATCGAGCCGCTTTGCAAGGTATCCGAGCCCGCCAAAAGCAAGTCTTCACTTAAACCCGACACCAGGCATCTGAAGGTAGTGAGATTCTTGCCTCCGGGTACGTGTCCGTGGGGCCTGTCTGAAGCCGGAACGCCCCTGCAGTTGCGGCAGGCTGCCTAGCAAACCTGACTGCCTTCGTGGGAAAGCTGTCAAAATCTGCGACAAGGAGCTCCAAGATCTTCATCAGAAGAGCTTCGTTCACGCATGCGTCACAGCATGGACGCAAACGGAGCGCATGACAGGCACCTATACAGCCCATGGCCCAACATGGGAAAGGGGGAAGACCGCCGTCCTTTGCCGAGAACTTCGAGTCACCTTCACCAGTGGGACAGCCGAGGGACCTGTCAGCTTGCAGCACATTCCACAAACTATGTCATGAAGTCATGATGGCAAGGGCCTCCCTTGCTCCGAAGACCTTC